CCTGCCGAGAGTCCAAAGTGACAAACCTGCTCAGACCAAACTCAGAAGCTCCCCACTGATAGCCGAACGAGCCTCTGAATCCCAAATGCGCAATCGGATCCAATCTCACATCAACGATGTGACCAAGTGCTGGGTAGCCAAATATTCGACGCCGACCAAAATCTGAAACAGCTCCACCAGATCTAACAACTCTATACGCAGCAGTCGGCAACCTCATAAGATAGCCCAATCGTGTCGAAGCCCGAATACCAGATCCACTGCTCGACAACCAATACCGATCCTCCTCCAGAAAAGAACGGCCCACTATATCTGTCATCTCATCACGTCGCCCCATTGTCTCCTCTACTCTGAAGTGTCTCCAAATGCCATGAGCTCGACACCAATGCAAGAAAGGACTCCTACTAGAACAAGTACGACTGGTAACCTTTCTGCCCATACACCTCCTCTAACTGTTGCGGACTACTAGGTCTTTATACCAACGAGACTTAGTTGCAACCCAAATATGCCTAGTACAATCCCCAACATAGGAAACAAAATAACGATTACCTCCCGATGATGCCTCCTCGGAAAGCCCCCCAATGCCTGACTGAACACCTCCAATAAGACTCCTCGATCGATGGATAGAAGTGCTGAACTCCACCTCGATCTTCTCGCTCATACCAATGTGCTCACAGGACTTTAATCTGCAGGTCATAGCACTCATCAACAATCTGTGCACGGTATAACTAATAATATATCCCAGCACCAAACAATGCCACAGTCTAGCCATAAAAGTAGTCAGCGCCCTATCAACTACCGTGCTCCCAAGTAGATAATACAAGTTACTCCGTCTCACTCCCTTCATCACAATCATGGACCCTGATGTGACCTTCAAACAAGAATCCGCCAAGGTCACCCTATAGCCTGATGCCTCCAATACCCCAAGTGAAATGATGTTCTTCCTTAGTTGAGGAACGAACCTCACATCAGCCAACTCCCGGATCATCCCGTCACTCATCCGAATCCGAACGGTACCAATACCACCAATAGGGCATCTGTGATCATTACCCATGAGAACAACATCCCCTCTTTCCAACTCCTGAAAGCTGGAGAACCAATCCCTTCTAGGGTATATGTGGTAAGTAGCACCAGAATCCAACATCCACTCGGTGGAGTCGGCAACATCAACTGACGGAAGAGCTGGGCACGAATAGCCTGAAGAATATGAATCTGAAACATCGTCACTAGCCTTGGCAACATTTACCTCTGAAGCTTGAATAGCTTTCCCTTTATTCTTCACAGCTTGCAATTTTGGGCATTCGGCTTTCCAGTGTTCATCCTCTCTACAAAAGGCACACTGATTCCTACCAACTGCAGGATGCCCCCCTCTAGACTGTGACCTTCTTCCACGGTTTGGACTTTTAGCTCTTGCAACCAATGCCCCCGCAACCGGCTCGATGGAAGTCTCCTTGTCCTTCTTTCGAAGTTGATAATTCACAAGGGCTGCAGTGACCTCACTATACGAAAGAGATGCCTTCCCATTAATAAGAGTGAGGACGAATGTCTCATATTCCTCGTCGGGCAAGGAACTCAATAACAACAATGCCTTGTCCTCGTCTTCAACAATGATATCTACATTCGCCAAATCTGCAAGTAGCTTCGTGTAGTGGTTCATGTGATCACTAATGGATATCCCCTTCTTCAATTGGAAGCGATAAAGCCTCATCTTCAAATGCAAACGATTTTTGACGCTCTATTTACCCTCTAGGACCTCCCAAATCTTCTTTGTCGAAGTTTCATTCATCACATCATATTTAAGGTCTTGGGTAAGGCAAGACCTAATCACACCACACGCCGTTCTATTCATCTTATTCCAAACATTTTCATCAATATCGGCCGGTTTCCCGTCCAACTCTAATGTATCTTCCAAATTTTGCGTATTTAGCACATCCATGACTTCGCATCGCCAAAGTCCAAAATTATTTGTGCCGTTGAACTTTTCCACATCTATTTTCATAGAATGTATATTCAAACTTTGGACGGCCTTCACACTAGAAGAACCCTCTCCACTTTTATATTTTTCAGCCATATATCTCAAAGCACCACCAAACCAATGCGAAAACAAACGAGAAATAGATCCAAATTGAAAAAGACGAGTTTTTTACTGAAAAGATCTCACCTTTATCACCAAACGAAGCCCTAGATGAACTTCCAAAGCAATCTACTCCTCCAAAATAGCTCAAGCGTAGCCTGGAGCTCTGATACCAATTGTTGCGCCTCGAGAAACCAAAACAATCGCCGAGAAAGATAAAGAACCAACCAAAATCAATAGCACAAACAATCAAACACCAGTTTTACGTGGTTCGGCAAGATGCCTACGTCCACGGGGCAAGGAGGGGGGAGTTTTCACTATTAGAAATCAAGAGGAACAAACTAGGGTTACAAATCTCTCATAAACCCTCAACAATCAACTCTCGATCTCTCCAATTGCTCCTAGAATAGAAGCCAAAAGAAAACTCTCTTAATCTGCTCAAATTCGTCCTTGCTCTTAACCCTAAAAAACACCCAAAGGGTATTTATACAAATCCAAAACGAAACGGGTCTGAAAACAGACCCAACTCAAAACCGCAGCGGCGGTCGACCGGTACGGTCGACCGCGATCGACCGCGTCGGTCGACCGCTACCATCTTCGGTCGACCGGTCCGGTCGACCGCCACCAATCCTGAAGCACAGTAAGTGACGTGCACGAAAGCGGTCGACCGGGCCGATCGACCGCCACCCTGACAACCTGAATCCTGAGCCTGGAACCTGATCTCTGCCAATTCTACATGTAACAAATAGATAAAAATCAAACTAAACTTAATATGAAAATCTAGCTTATAGAAATGATAAACAATAAACAAAATAAATACTAAGCTAGAATTGAGTTTAGAAAAACTCCTCTATAGATCAAGAGAGAGAGAGAGAGAGAGAGAGAGAGAGAGAGATGGAAATGAAGCTCAAACACCAATGGATGATCTCCTCTTGTTCTTGTGAAAATTTCTTCACAAACTAAACTTATAAACACACTTAAACAAACACTTAAACTCTTGTAAACTTGTTTTTAAACACTTCTTTTGGTAGTTAAAAACAGTTATGACAAAGAGATATATATAGGATGAAAACCAAAGTCCAAAAACCAAGAAAACCCAGCAAAAAGATAAAAAAACAGAAAGCTAGAAAAACTAACCGTTGGGCCGTCTGTCGACTGATAATGTTCATCAGTGGACTAATGAGCTGACCATTACAGGCTAGCAACATGTCATCAGTCGACTGATAAACTCGCAAGTCTACTAATAACCTTATCAGTCGACTGGTCAGTCGACCGAATAAGAAACAGAAACTTTTTGATATTTCAGGTGATTTCATCAGTCGACTGAACACTTTCATCAGTTGACTGATAACAAATTATCAGCTTGTTTTGAATAAAAAACTAACTTTAAAGTGTCTTTAAAAATAGTAAATAAATTCAGAAAAATATAAAACTTTGGGGAATGCTTGAAACATGAAAATGAACATGTTACAAAAACTATTTTTCAAAAAGCACTTCCCATTTGTAAAATCTCATCATTTTGCAAATTCATTTAAAATACGAAATCTCGAAAACACATGATTTTGACAAAATTGACTTAAACAACCTCTTTAAACATTTTGAATGAGTTTATAGACTTATACAAGATATGAAAATAGGGTAAACAAGTCTCCAATCCACAAACATATAATTTTGCAAATAAACGTCTTTAATCCATAAATAAAATCATGTTTATTTGCATGTATAGATATGAAACAAGTACGTGTATATATAATTATATCTATTTGTTTCATATATATATGGCTAAACATATTACTAAACAAAATCGATAAATATGAAACCTGTAAATATGAAACCTGTATATATGTAAATAAGTATATATGTTTCATATTTATAAAAACTTGAAAACTATAAAACCAAAAACAATGTGTGTGTGTGTGTAATATGATTGAGCTTAAAGTACCAACACACATAATATAAAACCTAAACTAAATTACCCAAGCTATCTTGATCTTCGATGTCGCTCAACTTGGTACACTTTACGGATGAAGCTTGAACTTGGATCTTTAACTTGAATTGCAAGGCTTCACTCTACTATTCCTTCCATCATCCAATGGATATGATCGTGAATGCTCGATTCCATCCAACCTCCAATATGGATATTTGTGTAGATTACCTAACAAAACAAATACAAATACTTAACACACGTTGTTAGGAATTTTTTGTAATCATCAAAACAAGATTAGGGAGTAGGTTCATAAACATGAGGCCAACAAGGTTGTCGACAACCCACCTAGGGTTTCCCTATAAAAGGGAAACCCAGAACACTAAAATCCAAGCCCCGTTCTTTTTCTTCTTCTCGCGCGATTTAACTTTGAGGCGACGACATTTATTGAGGAGCTCCTGTAGCAAAGAATTTTTCAGAGAAAAATTCTCGTGATTCCTGTGCGATTTTTTCACAGCGACTTGAGAAGAGATTTTACAAGTTGTAAAATCTCACGCCTTGAACAGAGAGTTTCTGTTGCTTCTTTTTGAGAGATCTCAAGTTTGAGATCTTCTCTTTGCAAGCTTGTAATCTTCTTTGATATAAAGAAAATTATTTGTGTGGCTCCCGAGGACGTAGGCAAGTTGCCGAACCTCGTTAAAACTCGGTGTTCTCCTTTTCTTACAATTTTTATTTGCTGTGATTTCTTCTTTCTATTGTCTTAACACAATATCCGGTAGGGCAAATTCCGCACGAGGGTTCATATTTGACAGGTGGTCGAATAGCTTGAATTCCCCAACATAAAATTTATTAGCTTTACTTGATGATGCATTCTGAATTGAAGAGAAACTAACAAAAAGCAGTGAAATTTGCGTGGAAGTATGTAATGCTTTCATATCATGATTGTGCATGCTAATGAACTCCATTTCCCCCTCCTATACATGCAGTGGGGAGTATTACTAGGGCTGAAGCCACTCCTGAATCCACAAGACTACAAATAGAGTCTGAATTATTTGCGCCTTATAGGGGATATTGCGCTCGCAAAGGGGTATGCATGCTTTTGTTTCTGTTCCTGTTGTTAAATTTTACTGCATTATCTTCTAACAGACCTTTATACATCTCTATAATTCTTTAACAATACCTGAAATATGTATACTTTTAAGATTGGCATGACCGAGGTTGTTTTAGAAGATTCTGATGTCTCAAAGGGACTGATCGAATACATTAATAACCAGCACATCAACAATTTTGTTGTTGGCGCCACAACAAGACATGCACTTGCAAAGTAGGTTATCTTTCCTCTCGTCTTCTTCTTCTTCTTCTTCTTCTTCTTCTATTTTTTTTGTTAATTACGGATAGATCTCCTTGTACTACCGCCAAATTGAACTTACTACTCATTTAGTTCTAATTAAAATCTATCTTTGAAGATAGACCTCCTGAAAAGGACCCAATTTTTTTTTTACGCAGGGGGTCTATCTGAAATAATAGAACTACATTAGTAAGTTCAATGTGGTGATAGAACAGGTGCGTATCCACGACTAACCCTTTTTTTGCTACACAATTTCAGATTTTGATATAGCTTTTTATTACTATTTGCAGGAAATTCAGGAACCATGATTTGTCTACAACTTTAGTGAAAACTGCACCAGAATTCTGCGCTATTTATGTCATATCGAAAGGGAAGGCGATCACCGTGAGATCAGCAAAAGGGCCCGTGCCAACAAATGCTTGGCCTCCTATAAGACCAGGAGGCTCTTTCGACTTTGATGATTCTGTCAGGTGAGCCAAAGTAGCAAAATTTACTGATTTTAGTTGTATCATTTGAATTATATCCTGCCACCACCACCGCCGCCATCATCATTTTGCAATTAAACATCTTTAGGTACGGAAAGGGATCAAGAAGAGGAGCCGTACAATCACATTCTCCATCTGAGCAAATAAAGTCATCCACAAGAGAAGGATCTCACTCTGCATTGAGCTCACCACTCCATCACACGCAACGTGATGGCCTCGAGTCATCTTTCCGCCCTCCAAGAACCTCACTAGGTTCCCGAGATTTCACAGAAGAGTTCCAGGGAAACTCATGCTTCAACTATGCAAGCGACTTCTCCATAATTCAAGAATCTTTACCTCACTCTGGTGACTGCAGTGGTGATTCTTCTCCTACCAGCAATGTGAGTGCTTAAGTTTTAGCTTAGTTTGCAGGATTGCGTTAATTGTAGATAGATCCCCTGAGTGAACTTTTCTGTCTATTTTACACTCAGAGAATGAGAAAATTATTTTCTCGACAAACAGGTCTCCTGTGGGTAAAAGAGTAAAAAGAAAAGTTCGCTTAGGGGGTCTCTCCGCAATTAGGCGATAGGGTAGCGGTCTATCTACAATTGAGAACTTGTAATGCATTTGTAATTGATAGTAGTTCTTGATTCGCTTGTGCAGTCAAAGAAAGACTTGGAAGCTGAAATGAAAAGATTGAAGCTTGAGCTGAAGCAGACTATGGATATGTACAGCAATGCTTGCAAAGAGGCAATCTCAGCTAAGCAAAAGGTGATGTAGATCCACAAAAACTCTTTTAATAAGACTCAACTTGCAATTTACCTTCCAAATTTGACTATTTTTACAAATCATTATTATGATTTGCGTCGTAATTGTATAGCACTTACTGTGACAATTGTGGTCTTTGTTGAGTCAAAAATGAAGATTGTTGCAGTTCACACGGAATAGTAATGTTGGTTATATAAAAATGAATTACAACTGTCCAAATAATATCGCACAATAATGATTGGATTTGGATTATCTCCACTGTAATTTCACAAGTGAAGAGGATTTGAATACTAAAACATTCCTGCCATTCTTTTCCCGGACGATTTTTATAGTTTAATGGAGTTTCAATTCCTCATCATCATTATCACTTTCTTAGGGGAAATTACTAAACCAAGCAATTTAAAATTGAGCTAGTAAAAGACTCAGAACTGAAAATCAAAGATTAGGAACAACAAATGTCTAAAAGTGATGTACACTGATAGTTTTCCCCTTGAACAGTGCTGAATACCTATAAACTTATCTTAACGACGCAATTATTGTTGGTCCAGGCAAAGGAACTAGTTCAACTGAAAATGGAAGAAGCCAGAAGATTCGAAGAAGCAAGAAGTGCGGAGGAAGCAGCTCTAGCAATGGCCGAAATGGAGAAAGCCAGATGCCAAGCCGCCCTTGAAGCAGCCCAAGCAGCGCAGAAGATGGCAGAGATGGAAACCCACAGGAGAAGGAGCGCAGAACTCAAAGCAAAGAGAGAAGCTGAAGAGAAGAAGAGAGCTCTAGATGTATTAGCTCAGAGTGATACCAGATATAGAAAGTATAGTATCGACGAGATTGAGCTTGCTACGGAGTATTTCGCAAAGTCGCTTAAGATTGGCGAGGGAGGTTATGGGCCCGTGTTTAGAGCTTGTCTTGATCATACGCCAGTTGCTATTAAGGTGCTTAGGCCAGATGCAGCTCAGGGCAGGAAGCAGTTCAACCAAGAGGTAATATTTCCAGGTTCGGTAACTTTTAGTAGTGTACCGAAATTTTACAAGCAACATCTCATGTTGAATTGATTTTTTAGGTCAACTTTCAATACAGAATCATCTCTATAGGATTGAGGTGGTTTGAACCATAACCAAGATAGTTAAAATTCCCAAACTGGCTCTCTATCCTCCCTTAGATAGCATAAGTCACCCTACTGTATGCAAGCTCGCCGATAAACTTGCACTATGCCAATTTCACAAATCCGTTCAAATTTGAGATTCTGGCACAAAACCTTTCTGAACTTTTACAAATCACGGAAAATCCGTTCGAACTCGTCTCACTTTAGAATGATGACAGGCGACGGGGTAAGTGCTACTGAACATCTAGATGAGGGGGCTTATGTTCAATTTACTCTTTGGATAAATATAAGAAACGTCTGGAAATACTACTGTACAGCTCTCATGCTTCATATCTCAACATCTTCGTTGTCTTAACTACATAGGATAAATTTTTTCAGGTTGAAGTATTGAGTTGCATCAGACATCCAAACATGGTTCTCCTCCTCGGCGCCTGCCCAGAATACGGCTGCCTCGTATACGAATATATGGACAACAAGCCTCGAAGACCGCCTCATGCGACGAGGAAACACTCCTTCAATCCCATGGCCAATCCGCTTCAAGATCGCCGCTGAGATCTCCACCGCCCTCCTCTTCCTCCACCAGGCCAAGCCCGAACCCTTGGTCCACCGCGACCTCAAACCCGCCAACATCCTCCTCGACCGAAACTATGTCAGCAAAATAAGCGACGTGGGCCTCGCTCGCTTAGTCCCACCCTCCGTCGCCAACCAAGTAACTCAATACCACATGACTCAAACAGCGGGCACATTGTGCTACATTGATCCAGAGTATCAGCAGACCGGGATGCTGGGCTGTAAATCAGACGTTTATTCGCTCGGCGTGATGCTGCTACAGATAATCACGGCGAAACCGCCAATGGGGTTGACGCATCACGTAGAGAGAGCGATAACGAAGGGGACGTTCGAGGAGATGCTGGATCCGACAGTTAAGGATTGGCCGGTGGAGGAGTGTTTGAGCTTCGCGAAGATGGCGTTGAAGTGCTCGGAGTTGAGGAGGAAGGATAGGCCGGATCTCGGGACGGTGGTCTTGCCGGAGCTTAACAGGTTGAGGAATCTCGGGCATGCGTTTGAGCAGCAACCGGGGTTTGGAGGGAGTAGTTGCAGTGGGAGCAGTGCAAGTGGGAGTAGTTTTGGGGGGATGACTTCAGGGGAGCTCAGCAGGGGATCTATCGGAAGCTCCCGAGGGTCTACCGGAAGTTGAAAATTTGGAAGTTGGTGCATTTTCCCCCCTGAGATGACAGACGATATTATGTACTAATTGGTTGGTTTAAGGAGATGTATCAGTTTGGCATGAGTTTAACGTGCCTGTAATTTTTTCGTGATACTAATTAAGGTCAATGTGTCTCGTTCTTTGTGGTTTGGACTTTGGTTCCCTTGATAGCTTATGCAAAACACGATCAGCTACTTTATTCTCCATGTGTAAATTTTTGAAAGCCAAATATAGAAAAAAAAAAACCAAGAAAGCTCTCTTTTAACTTAAAATTCTTTTATAAACCCCTCTAAAATCGTGAATCCCAATTTTCATTGTCAAAATTAACCATGTGTAATTTTAGTATTTTACCCACCCGTGTGAAGCTTGTTGCGACTGATACTATCTAGGATGAGTTTCCTGATAAAATTTTAAAGTTAAAAGGGTTTTTCTGGAAGAAAGGTCTGATAGTGAACTGCAAACCAAAACATCAACAAACAAATGACTTTACCCAAGTATTTTAGACGTATTGTATGTATAAAGAATTTTATCTAGGAAATTCTGAACCCACAAACGGTGAATCTAGGGGAACCATTTTACGTGTGGAGCTTATACAAATGGAAATTTTAAGGAAAATACGCCTGAAGTTTAGGGGGTGTTTGTTTCACCAAAAATTTTGGTATTTGGTATGGATTACAAGGTTTAGGATCAAAAAGTCAGTTTTTTTGTATTCCGGGATTCCATATATGGTGTTTATTTTAGGAAATTTTTTAGAATATTGAATCCTAAAAGCGTAAAGAGTGCCCAATTGGAGAGGGTTTTGACAAATCTTATAAATGAGTGTGCTTACCTCTCAATTGGAGAGGATTTGACAAATTCCAATTTTGTCTTTTTGTGGGAGGTAACCTCACCAAGATAGCATATTCATCATATTAAAAAATTTTGGCATTTGGTAATGCTACAAATTTGAGCTTGAAACAAACAAAATATTATAAATTATAGTATTCCAAATTCTAAAATATTAATGAAACAAACAACATTTTCGAAATCCGAACCCATAACAAAACACTTAGGGGGGGTTAGTCACCTAGAACTTTTTAAGTAGAACTGGGATAATTGGTAAAGTAGGATAATTTTTTGACATTGGGATAATTTAGTGGAACAATGATGAGTAATTCTTAAAGTGCGATAATTTGGTAGGATAATTTGGTGGGATAATGATGGATAATATTATGAAGTTGCATAATTTGGTCGGATAATTTGGTGGGGGTAATGGTGGGTATAAAATACTATTGTTAATAATTGTATATTAAAAATAATATAATATTGATAAGCAAATTCTAGTAATAACTATAAACTATAATGCAATAAAGCATCACTATTCATCTCAAATAATAAAATAATTTACAAATAAATAAAAATCTAAATCCCTAGAGTGACTCGACTTCCATCATCCCACATGGCTTCTATCATCCCACATGGCATCTGCCATAGAATTTTTCCAAGCTCCTACAGCTGCTCGTTGAGTCTGTAACTCGTCTTCTTTATCGGAGTCATTATCTGCATCAGCAACATTTCGTGGAGCTTCTAGTGCAGGATCATAAATGTCGAAGTTCAAATCTCATAACATCATAAAGAAAGAAAATTAAGCATTTTTCAGCCATTAACCCTTTGGACCAATCTCATCATGATCGCTGAAACCAAATCAACAAATAAATGAAATGTACACAGGAATCATCTATGGCCGCTAAACAGATGATCGACAGATGAATTATAAATATCCCAATCAATTTACTGAGCCGATTTAATAATAATAGATATCACCATTAACCATTCAACATCTAATCATCAATGTGATCGCAAAGTTGCTTTCTAACTTATAAAAAAAACATAAATAGCCCGCATATCTTTAGCACTAACCCACCAACACTATATTCTTAACCTAAACCACTGTTGTGGAGAGAAAACTTAGATCAAACAAATAATAATAAAGTAATTTAACGTCAAAAAGCTATCAATAAAGTAATACATCTTAAAGATAATAATAAAAGATCTAATCATCACAAAAACAAAGTAAAGACAGAAAAATAAACGGATGATTGACTTTATGGCAGAGAAATTTTCTAGGCGGAGAAACTAACCAAGAGGGAGGGAGGTGACGTTTCACTTTTTTCCCCAATTGTATTCTTTCCTATGTGTGGGATAATTTGAGAGAGAAAAACTTATGGTTATATATATAGGTAGTATAATTTGTGGGATAATTATGACCAATTATCCCAATTCTAATTCTAGTAGAATTCTACTTGACTAACGCACCAAAAAAATAATACAGTTCTAATTCTACAAAAGTTCTACTTGACTAACACTATAAAAAAATATCTCATTTTCTAGTTCTATGTGACTAACACCTTAAAAATTTATCCCACAAATTATCCCAGTTCTAGTTTTAAGTTCTAGATGACTAACCCCCCCTTATGGATTTCAAATCCCATGGTGAAATCCATATCCTAAAATTATAGGATTTTGAACAAACACCACCTTAAACTCTCTCACCACATGTTCATGTCGTTGCTATCCATTAATTTCTTTTGGTGTGCGAGGAATCTTGGCTTAGTGCAAGCTAAGAAATTCAGGGCCAGGGGCCCCATTTTGTAGTCCAGACTCAGATAAATAACATAAGTGTTTCAATGCCTAATAATTAAAAATTAGAAATAAGTTAGTCATTATTTTGATTGTGCATCTGATTTATAACAAATGTGTGGTGGTCTATGGGAAATTTAAAAGTTCAAGAGAGTTTTGTGAGCTCAAAAATTTATGGGAGATTTAGCGAAATAACACAAGTTCAAGGGGATCTTGTGGTAATGCCTAAACGTTTTTGGGGGTTTTGTGAAATTTACCGTATATAAATTGCTCTATAGCTCTCCTGATTTCTCTTTACGAAAAAGAAAAAGGGAAACAAAAGAAAATAAAGAAAATAAAAATCTTAGCTTGTCTTTGAGAGATTCTACGCTCACTAATCAAAGCAATGGCGGATCCTTACTACAGATACGCCCCCCCTGAAAGAGGTACTCTCTCTTTTTCCTCTCCAATCGAATTCGAATTCAAACCCTAGAGGATAAGCTGAAGATTTTTTTAAAAACACGATACTATAATCAGTACAAAGTTTTGATTTTTTATCAGGACTCGCTAATCGAATTCGAACCCAGACACTAGAGGATAAACTGGAGAATTTGATTCAGTGTCTTCAAGTTCTTCTGATGATGTTGAAATTAGGGCAAAGTTGAGTTTTTTTTAAGAGGATAAAGGTAGAAACCTGAAATAAGTTAAGTTGAAGAAAGATTGTTTCTGTTCCTTCGGTTTTCTTAGTAATTTGATAAAATTGCTGACATTGTTAGTTGGCACCTTTTTGTTATTTCCAAATGTGAAGATACATATCTCCTAGAAATTACCAACGAATTATACAATTTCCTGTTCTTTAGACATCACAGATACACGAGCTGCATTTCCGGGTTATCTTCCTTCAGAGGCTTCTACCTTAGCATCCCGGCCTTCATGGGACGGTGGTAGTCTTCGAACTTCAGTGGAGTTTGGAAAAAATGATGTATGAATTTAGTATTTAACTTGGCAAGAACTTAAATTAGCTGACTGAATTTTTATTGATACTTGATATCAAATGATTTCCTGGATGTATGCAGGTATTACCATTATCTCGAGATTATGGGTTGGGTGATTTTCAAAGAATAGACACTCAAGTGACCCCCGGACTTGGTGGATTGACTGCTGGAGCTAGTGTTAGAGCCTTCACTCCTTTAGAAGATCCAGCTCTATTAAGAAGAGATGTTCCTCTGAATGTTAAGCCTAGCATTGTGGATTATGAACCTCCTGATCCTCTGAGAAAACCTGAGGGCTTAGCGGCTGACGAATCGAACATTCTGTTTGTTGATGGTCTGCCGAATGATTGCACAAGAAGAGAAGTAGCTCGTATCCTTGCATGATGTATTCCCCCCTTTTGTAGCAATATGAGTTCGTTCTAGTTAGTACATATCCTTAATTTAATTTTAAAGATTTATTCCGACCTTTTATTGGTTTCAAGGAAATTAGGGTTGTCCATAAGGAGGCTCGTCGGGTATGTTCTTTAACGCTATTAGTTCTTTTGTATCTCTATATGATAAATTTTCAATTTAGGTATTCTTTTTAGAAATACTGAATCTTGAATATTTCCTTGCAGATGTCTTTCTAAATGCATTTATATTTATTGACGGTAGAATATTTATAGAGACCATGATTCTCTTCGGTTTGTGGCATGAATTACTTTTTATCTTCAAGTTACCTAGTGCCATAGTTCTGTTTATATTAGCTAATAGGTTTATTTTCATAATCTTCTTTCGTAAGTTCTAAGTGGTTTCTATAACATAACATGAACTTAGTTTAATACCAAGAATGGATGTTTCTCTGGTTGCTGACTGACCTCCATGGACTTATATTAAGCACCTATCTTATCTATTGCTCCCATGGATAAAAATGTGGAGCATCTGAGAGGGCAGATATTTGATAGATAAACAATTGAATTATTTCCATGTCAGCTGATGCTTATGCAGTGTTATTTTGATCAGAGAGATTGTTTTTTCGACAACGTCAATGCTTAATGCCATTTTATTAGACAGATAAAACATCCATCTTGCCACTGAATTTGGGAGAACTCCATCATAGACTTGGCAATTGCATAAGAAACAACATTACGTTAAGTATCCAGGTTGGATGCTAAGAATTCCTTAATCTTGAGCAATGCAAGGCTGCAGGACTCGGGTGCATTCAGTGACAGTGAAGATTTGTCTGCTTGGGGGAGGGTTGTAGATAATCTGAAGATTGCTATTATTGGATAAGCTAGGATCCTTATTCTTGTTGTCGATTATGGATGATGATGGGATAATTGATTGTCCATAGAACAATAGGAGTGTTTCCTGATTAGAGACTGGAGATGTGGAAAGGTTGAGAAGTGGAAGATAGGGTATAATGTTGTTGGGTATTGCAGCATTGATATGACGACTTTTTGAAATCAGCCAGTTTCTGTAGATGCGTCTCTCCATCAATGACCTAGTGTCAATTCTTTGGTGTCTCGTTAGGAGGGTTAAAAAAAGTAGAGCAAGTATCTGTGAGTTCTTCGGCATTGTTCTTGTATATTTGTTACTGATGGAGAACATTTTCCATATAGCAGGCACGGAGGGATGAGTGTTTCTCTTGGGCTCTACAGTTCTGGGCTTTTTTCTAATGGAGATGCAGTAAAGTTAAGTGGGAATTAGCTTGTTAGGGGTTATCTACCCGGGATGATGGACAGTGTTGAAACTGTGGCAGGTAGACAGTGATAAAGTATCAAATGAGAGATTCCTAACCTTGTGAAGTTTCACTCATGACCATTTAGACTCAATTGTTACTTTTTGTTTATGTGATATATAACTATGAGAAAAGTTTTTTATATTTTAAGATCAAAATAATTGGCTAATTGTTTGCCACATTAGTAAAGCCCTTCGGTGTCATATTTCCCTTATACAAGGATGAAATTTTGTTTACAAAATATAGTTGGTTGAAGCCTAAAAAGTGTGCAGTTATGTACAACATGATGTGTTGTTAGCACCAAATTCTGAAATGATGTGTTGCTAACACCAAATTCTGAATTATCTCGTACAAAGCGACAGGAGATATCATGTATGAGAAATATCAAACACAAACATGAGTTCACGGTAGATCCGTAGATGTTTACATGTTATGTGGGTTAGAACTTTTATTTCTTGAGTCAATCACTAAGTTGAAACTTTATTTCTTCCGTCAATTGGTAATGTATAATCTAAAATTCAATCAGAATAAGTCAGAGTTTCTAAGTTATATTTATTGAATAGGAAGAAAGGTTAAAGGTCAGTCCTAAGTTCTAACATTATCAATGATAACATTTTGTAAACAATGACCTGGAGAGCAATTGTTGTAAGTCCTGAAATATCTTTGTTGCTATAAAGTATAAACAGATAACATTTGATATAAAATGAGGTGGAAAAAATAACCCTATGGATTGTATCTATCACAGAACTCATGCCTGATTTTTCGCTTCGCAGTATGCCCAAACCAGTTAACCTCCTTTTTTATAGAAGCCACCGTCGTACGTGTATATTTTTCATATCATGTGTAAATAGTATGATTTGTTAGAAATTGTAGAAACCCCCCAGAATAAGATGTAGATTATTGGAGGCCTTATATAAGGTTTATGTAGAGGAGGATTGTCATATTTTGGGTAGAACTTGGGTGTTTGGTGGACAAGAATCATTGGAAGAACTGCAGCATTCATTATGGTACTGCAGAAATATTGATCATGTAGTAGCTATGCTGCATAGACACTTGCGGAGCCATGTCATTCGTGACTTGTACCAAGTTGGCACTTTTTGGATGTTGTAACCACTTGCAGGAGATTTTACTCTCTCAAATTGGGTATCTTGTTCTGGGTGAAAAGTATTAAGTGTGTTGATGAGGTTTACCTTTCTTGCAATGGTTAGAGATCCACTTTCATTTGAAAAAGGTTTTAGGTAAATCTTAATTAGTGATGAGCTTATACATAGATCATCCCGAAGCTATGTTGCTAGTGGTGCTGCTTCCAATTTTCCTAGACATAGATAACAGGGCACTTCTTGGATATGTGTTACATAGTTGCAGGTCATTTATTCTTTGTCTAGGGAACACTTCTGACTAAGTGTCCTCAATTTTATAAAATATTTAACTTTGAGCACTTGTTTTATGTTCAATGGACTTATCATCACTCATTTATACTTGCTTTATAATGGTATAAATATATATAACAATGATTTATATTATAAAGCCTGTGATGTTAAGCCCCTCCATTGGATGATAGAAAGAAACCGAAACCAAATTCCTGTTTCCATAAATTTTTAAAATTATTTGAAATATATATGTTTGTCATATGTACTGAAGATAATATTCTTATTTTATTAGTTATTACTATAAAATCAATATGTTCTACAACAATAATTACTGCCTGTCTATACTAATACTACAAGCCCCTTGATTGCCGCTTGGCAAATTCTTAGAATTTGCCTATTTAATTTCCATGAAACTAATACTTTGTAGTTAATAAATAGTATTTTCGACTATGCATTATGTTTCATGTTATAGTCTATTTTCATAAAAGTAAAGCATCACTTTCGTGAAATTTTTTTGATGATATCATTTTCATGAAATTAATACATCATTTTAAATAATGTTTCGCATTATAAACTTGGTCATGTTATAAGGAAAAATTGCAATAAGAAAATGATCCTGATGAGTATTATTTTAAATAGTTATTTTTCAAATCTTAATATTATGACAATACGAGTGCAATAATAATATAATGCTGAGTCCCATGTATTGCTTGGGGAAAAGACTAGTTCTTAATTATTTACATGTACCTACTGTATGGCCTAGGTTTTTCAAGATTTATGTATCCACATTTGTCATGTTTTATCCTGCTCCATGCCCATGATTTACTACATGGTATTGAAATTGGCATTAACTCTTCTCCCTTGGCATTTTAGTCTAGTGTTTGTTAATAAAACTCTTCCAGAATTTCATTTTAACTTTTGTAGGCCAAGTATTTTGATGATGCATGTTGATTCTCACAACTATCATTTTCTTTTGTTTTTGTGGGTTAAAGTGATGGTCCTGGCCCAGTGTTGTAATCATCCAATTAAATATCAATTGAAATTGCTAGTTGCTTTTTTCCTTCAGCAAGTTATATTATTAAAAACATCTCAGAAAAATGTTAAGTAGTTCAAGGCCTGAATATGCTTGTCAGATTTCTCCAATTTTCATTAACTAAATGGTCTTATCTTGATCCATATATTTTGTTATTCTGATTGAAGCATACTGAAATCAGTACCCTTAGGAACAGTACTTGTTGATTTGTCCTTTTATATGTAAATATGATATTTGTGTTAAGTTATGCACAAAGCTATTATCAATGCAACAATTGAATATGATATTTGTGTTAGATTAAACCTGGCTTCTTTTTGAAAATCATCTTCTTGAGTGTTCAGACCCTTTGGAATTTTTATTCAATAAATTTGTTTTGATATTTGGAATGTCTATTTATTGCATGCCGTTATTTTAAAATTACATTTTCTGAGTTACGGTTTGCAGTCTGGAGACAAGGCTTATGTTCTGTGTTTTGTTGAGTTCAACGATTCCAAATGTGCCTTAACTGCTATGGATGCTCTTCAAGGTACATTTTTCGTGTGTCAATGTCTATTCTTTCCACCTCCAATTGCAATATGTTAATATATGAAGCTTCAAACATTGTGTACTAATAGACTAGATTCAAATTGTTGTTGACTTGTTTCCAAGTGTAAATATTAAGTCAACCAACATTCAACTGATCTCTTCCACATGTACATACTGTTATCTCTTCGATGCATATTAATGTCAGCTCCATACATGACCATTGGCCGCATCATTATCACATGATGTTTATTTTATTAGCAGACTAGCAGTTATATTTACGAGGAATAAAGTGGATATATAAGATGACGATTTAAAAAAAAAATCCAGGTAACAACTGTGATTCAAGCAATACGGGTAACCAGAACCGTCTCTTTCAATTGAATTCTACAGAGTTCAGAAATGGAACCTGCATATTTTTTGTGGATTCTTAAACTCATGAACAGATACAACGTGAGAAAAATCTGGAATTTAGATCTCTTTAAGCTTTACCTTAAAGAGGTTACCTAAATTTTTATTGTGAAGCAATATCTACTTTTTAATTTGACTGAGGAATTCTTTTATCAGATACAAGCAATCAGAAAACAGTATGTGGTGGAGTACATCCTATCTAGCATTAATACTTCAAAGGAGTAGAAGTACCTGTATTTGATACGTATTCGATAAATCCACTGTTTTAAAAAGTTTCCGCCTAGTCCGTCTAGGCGTACGCCTACCTGTGCTGCCTAACTAACGCCTAACGCCTAGGTGGTACCTAGGCTGTCCATCTGGGTTTTGGGAGGATTTAGGGGAGCATTGCCTACATACATGGACTGCACCTTTTAGGTCTTGATCGTGATTTTCTATGTCGCAGCCGCCACGTCCTCCAACATCCTTCAAACTCCTTTAACCTCCAAATATGAACACCTCCACCATCTCCTCCAACCTTCAGCAAAATCTCCTCGACTACCACTCAAATGAAGAAAGAAATCCACCTAGACACCAGTCCGGCACCTAAGCTTTCTATAACATAGACATTTACTTTCAATTATTGTAATTAAAAAATAAAAAAAAGAAAACCTCTTAGGCTCTAGGTGTCGGGTCCAATGCCTAGGTATCCTAGCGCTTTCTACAATCTTGTTAGTTATTATTTTGGCTATTTAGTATTTAAGTATACATGGTTTATTGTGGATCTAAGATTGCTATCTATTTTTGGGGCAAGTTTATATGAATTTAATACATTTTTATCAATTATTATATTTAATAATTTAAAAAATAACCAAACGCCTAGGTGTCTAGGCGCTAGGCGCTTGCTCAAACGCTTAGTCCGCCTAGCGCTTTCTGTAACATTGTATAAATCCTAGATATATGAAACACATCGATAGATGCCATCCAGTACTAAAAATTTAATATTCAATGTGTGAATAATGAGTTAATAATTTTACTCAACTTGAATATGGATTGTTATAGGTTACTGTGGTGTTTCCATGTGGATTAACATGATAACTAGCTTCAGACCCCTGGATTTTTGCAGGTTATAAGTTTGATGACAAGAAACCGAATGCACCAGTTTTAAGGATCCAGTTTGCAAAGTTCCCCTTCCAGCTAACCAGTCGCGATGAGAGGAGGCATGGGAGCGCACATTGACATATTAATGGCATAAAAATGAAGCGAGAATGCAGTAATATATTCCAGCAAACAACGTGAAACTAGTGATTATGCTCGATTTTTTTTTGCTGCATACATGATAGCTTTAATCATATGTATGTTTGCTGAGAGAGGCAACTGGGTATTTAAGCGTGTAATCTCTATCTATGTCAGTATCTTGGAATTTTTTTGTCTTTTTGGTACGTTTTTAGTCTCTTTAGCTTTGACATGGGCATTAGTTTCGATATAATGCTGCATAAATAACTCAAGGTTAATCTTATTTTCTTATTTTCTTTAGTTTAAATCTGATGATATATTTTTCTGCATCTGGTGGGAATGTGACATGTTATGCATATTGATACACTTTTTATTTTCTCATTGACTGAAAATTTTGGCAAAATTGAACACTGTCTGTTAGACGTAGTACTTATGATATTATAAAGGGGATGATGATATGAGGTGGTGACTCATTTTGCTAAATTGGCTACTAAGAGATAGAATATTGAGGTTCACATCTTGTGACTTGACTAGCAAGGAGGGCTTCACATATGATTGTCTAGTAGTAGCTTATTTGACAAAATGAGCCATCATGTCATGCATATTATCCTATTATAAATTATGTTAGAGCAACACAGAGCAGTTAATCATTGGTCCATGCTTTTTTTTTTGTTAGCACCAATGATTTGTTTGTTAGCATGAATTTTGGGTGGAAGATTTATTGCTTAGCATGTTAACATTTTTTGAGTGGCTAAATTACCAGATTGGTGTAGCCCTCTTATCAGTTTGGTTTTTTCTAGTTCCGGCGATGCTTTGATATGTTTCTGTGACAAATGTGCAATTAGGCTGGCAACTTTGCCATTGACAGGGAAAAAAGTCACGAAACCTTTTTCCTCCTAGTAGTTTTTATAGCCTCTCAAGCTTTTTCTTCAGTATATATGAGGGTAGTATCATGCCCTTCCCTTTTTGTTCCAAAATTTACTTTTTTGTGAACTCAGCATTCTTGTATAAGTTTGAGCATAGCTAGTATCCTCGTACCATGTGCCGAATAATCTTATGACACTTTTCTCATGAATAAGATACCACAAATAGCTTCACATGAGGTTCACGGTTTTCTTTTTCTAGGCGGTGAAGTTTTGGGTCTAATTGCACATTTGGCTCGGAGAAAATACAAAAACTTTGGCAGAGCTAGAAAATACATCAAAGTTATAAGAGGGGTGTACAAAAAATACAAACATGATAATTCAGACATTTCCGAAAAATGTATAGAAAATAGGCAATCTTTTAAGGACAAGATTAAAGAGGAGGTCCGGAGGAAGAACTGAAGGGTTGCTTGGACTCTGATTGGATGCCTTAGATCCACTTGCTAGCTAGTTAATTTGGATTGGATGATGCATTTTTTTTCGATGCGGATAGATTAGCTGAAAAAAAGCGGGGTTTCTTTAAAGCCCAGCCGTTTACCTTTATTTAATTATAACCCTCCCACTTACAGAATCATCCATGCACCTAAATTATAACAATGTCACTTGTTTTGGGCTATTTGTCAAATCTTCTTTGTTTTAAAATTGGGAAAATTACCCTCGTGAAACAAATCCTCCCACGAAACTTAGCCCCTTTGTGATATTTATTATCCAAAATTTCAATCAAGATTACATTGGGGGGGAAGTATCAATTTTACCGGTGTTCATGACATTAAATGCGCACCAAAAAAATGTTAGCATTGGATCATTGGATTTTGGAATTCGTGCTTTAGATCCAAGGATTGGTATTATTTAAGTGCACGTTTGATGCCATGAGCGTTCCGATTGTATACTTTCTCATCAAGGACCGTTAATACGAAATCTACTCTCGTCAAATAAATCTCCCCACAAAATTTTGCACAAATGTTGTATTTGGGTTACGAGGGAACATTATTTTCCAAGTTGATGGGTTTTGAAATAAACGAGTGTAACAGATTAGGTTTAAAAACAAAAGAATCAGATCTTCTCCACTATAAAAAAAATAGTGGTAAGACCACTATTATATCGCGACCATTAATTTGTCAATGTGTGGTTGTGGTTTGCATTTGAATGTTAGATGTGTAACAAATAATAGTAACTAAGCTGCTTTTTATACACTCCTTCTACACTACACGAGAGAGATGTGTGTTCCCTTGACGAGTCATCAAGTTTGAAAAAAGTAAAAAGGAATGGACCCACCATTTTAGCGTAGAGGATCCATATTCTTAAACAAAAACCCTTAAAACAGGCAGCTTTGTGTTTTATGCTGCAATTTCGTTTTGCCAGAAGGTCAGACGCTGCGTGGGCCAAAAAGGCAAAAAAAAAAAAAAAACCCTTCTCCGAGTCAAAAATGCTTGGAAATGGTAGCAGGTATGGAATTTCCTTACTTGATCTGGACAAAGTGCTAGATAGGGACTTAGTTTGTTTGTAGCTCCCATTCTTCCTGGATCTTATAACATACTTGTTTGGTGTCTGATTATCCGAGAAAGTCCTAATTTTCTTTGGGCTCAGGGCAACGTTGACTAAATAAGAAGGGCCTAATCATAATTTTTTTTAGAGTAGTTCTACAGGACCATTTTTATGGGACAAGAGAGACTGCATTCTGAGCGTGGAGAAAGCTCGAGTTGTGATGAATGACTGTGTTTTGTACTCCCTTGTTTTCATGTCTATAAAAGGAGTAGGTTGGGTGGGTGTCAGCTTGTGAGATATTTTCAGTGGTTGGGAAATTTGGTTTTATGTTGCAACCACTTGTTTATACAGCAGCTTGGGGTTGGAAAATAAAAGCCCTTCAAACAAACAAATTTATTGTTTCACAGAGGCTGCAGATTTTCTTTGCCAAAAGGTCAGATCTTGTGTGCGCAAAAAGAAACTTCTCCGAGCCAAAAATGCATGGAAATGGGACCAGGTTTGGAAATTTCCTTACGTGTTCTGGGCAAAATGCAAGAAAAGGGATTTTTTTTTTCCTTTCCCTCGGATGTTAATATATTTAATTAAATAAGAAAGGGACGGAATGCAAACAAGAGCTTTTAGGGACAAATTTTCTAAACCAACCTATTTGGACTTTTATTCCCTAAAAACGACCCCATTCAAAAATAATTGCAAAAACCGACCTGGTTTCAGCCTCAGTGCTGAAACCAGGTCGGTTTTTGAAAAAAACTCTCCGAAACTTCACGGGAGTTGAACTCCCGTGAAGTTTCGTAGTTCAAAAAACTTCACGGGAGTTGAACTCCCGTGAAGTTTCGGAAAGTTTTTTTCAAAAACCGACCTGGTTTCAGCGCTGAGGCTGAAACCAGGTCGGTTTCTCTAAATAAATGTGAAACGGGTCTTTTTTTGGGAATAAAAGTTCAAATAGGTTGGTTTTGAAAATTTGTCCGAGCTTTTAGCTTTGATTTGGCCGAAAGGAGTAAAGAAGAGTTGAATCCACTATCCTCTTGACGCGATTATTGCTGAGAGAGTCAACAGCTGAAGCTTTGGAATACTGATGATGAAATTACTACTAACGCTGGCTTTAATATCCGGTCAAAATCGTATCAGTTTCCTTCCAGTTCCAATGTCACGGCTGTTCTCAGCCTGCTGCATAGCTTACGCAACTGCACTTCTGCTCTCGTTCCATCGTGTCTGCTCCCTGCTGAATTCTCCGACACTCGACAATGCAACGGATATGCGAGCCCTTCTCTCCTTCAAATCCATGATATCCGTCGATCCAAGCTCGCAGCTGGCCTCGTGGAACGACTCCGTCCATTTCTGTCGGTGGCCGGGGGTCACTTGTGGGGGCCGCCGGCATCCCGAGAGGGTAGTCTCCTTAGAATTGAGCTCTCTAAACCTGGCAGGATTCATATCAGCATCCCTATACAACCTGGCATTTCTCAGGAGAATTGATCTCTCAGTGAATCAGATTCGGGGATCAATTCCACAGGATATCGGTCGACTGTATCAGTTGCAGCATCTCAATCTGAGCCTGAATTCTCTCGGAAAAGGTATCCCTACTTCACTTTCTCGGTGTTTAGACCTTCGGGTATTATCCCTGGAGAAAAATAACCTTGAAGGCGAAATACCAGCTTCGTTGATGAACCTGTCGTCTCTTTATGTTCTATCTGTTGGAAGTAACCAGCTTAGTGGGCATATCCCATCTTCAATAGGTAAACTTTCCAAACTAACAGAGCTTGGTTTGTCCAGCAATCGTCTTTCTGGAGATATCCCAGCTTCTCTGTGGAACCTTTCTTCTCTTTCTTATCTCAGTATGGGTGGTAACTCTCTCTCGGGTTATCTTCCGTCTGATGTCGGTTTTGCTCTCCCGTTGCTTCGAAGTATTTTCTTCTACAATAACCAATTTCATGGACAGATTCCATTGTCATTGTCCAATGCATCACACCTTGAAGTTGTAGACCTTTCGAACAATCTGCTCACCGGTGGAATCCCTCCTAGTTTGGGACGCCTGCGAAATTTACGGTGGCTGGACCTATTTAACAATCAGTTGGAAGCAAGGGAGCCTGATGGGTGGAGATTTGTTACTGCATTCAGCAATTGTACCGTCTTAGAGAAATTGCGACTACATTCGAATGACCTTGGCGGCATGCTGCCTAGCTCTATAGCAAACTTATCCACCAACCTTCAGAGACTCGAGATTTCAGGCAATAAAATCTCTGGGAACATTCCTCCTGAGATTGGGAACCTTGTTAGCTTGACAGTGCTTGATATGGGTCAGAACTTGCTTGCTGGCTCTATCCCTGAATCGATTGGGATGCTTAAACACATGCATATACTCAATTTAGGCAACAATAAGCTGTCTGGTGAGATTCCATCAACCCTCGGTAACCTTACTCAGCTGAATATTCTTCATATGGGTTTTAATGAATTGAGTGGAATCATACCACAAAATCTTGGAAATTGCCGAAATCTAATTTTGCTAGACCTCTCAGTTAATAAACTAACTGGTCTCATCCCTAAGGAAATTCTTACCATACCAACATTGTCCATATATCTGAACCTGGCAAAGAATTCATTAACCGGGTCAATACCATTAGAAGTAGGGATCTTGAAGAATTTGGGGGAGATTGATTTCAGTATGAACAAGTTGACCGGACAACTCCCTAGCACTCTTGGTGAATGTCAGGAGCTGGAAAGACTCTACAGTTGTGGCAACTTCATCGAAGGAGATATCCCTTATTCTTTAAGCAGACTGAGAGGTTTGCAAGAGTTGGATCTTTCACAAAACAACTTGTCAGGGAAAATACCACACTTTTTACAGGACTTCCCCTTTCTATACTATGTTAACCTCTCTTTCAATAATTTAGAGGGCGAAGTTCCAAGGGACGGTGTCTTTGCAAATACAAGTGCAGTTACGGTCCTGGGAAACAAGAAGCTATGTGGAGGGAGCTCAACTTTACACTTGCGACCTTGTACAATTCACTCAACAAGGAAAACAATTCACTCAACAAGGAAAAAAATTAAATTTGTGACACTTGCAATGATCGTCTTATTTGCTACTATATGTCTATCCATACTCCTACTTGTTTATTGGATACGAAAGCCAAGAGAGGAGCCTATTAGAGAACTTGCATATGAAATTGGAAAAATAGCTTCTGACCGGGCAATAAAGCCAAGAGAGGAGCCTATTGGAGAACTCGCACATGAACGTGGAAGAAAATCTTCTGCTGAACTTGTGAGAGCTACAAATAAACTCAAACGTGAACGTGGAAGAATATCTTATGCTGAACTTGTAAGAGCTACAAATGGTTTCTCTGAGGAAAATTTAATTGGGGTTGGAAGTTCTGGTGCAGTGTACAAAGGAATTCTAGAAAATGATACAAATAGCATGTACAGTGGGATGCATATTGCTATCAAGGTAATCAACCTGCAACAGCGAGGAGCTTCCAAGAGTTTTGTAACGGAATGTGATATTTTGAGAAACATGTCACATCGAAACATTTTGAGGATCTTAACGACATGTTCAGGGATTGATTCCTATGGAAATGACTTCAAAGCGCTGGTTTTTGAGCACATGGTTAATGGCAGTTTAGAGAATTGGTTGCATACAGTAGCCAGTGAGGAAAGGATGGACGCGAAATTCAACCTTATACAGAGGATTGAGATAGCCATCGATGTGGCTTCTGCATTGTATTATCTTCACCATGGTCGTGAGAATCCCATTATTCATTGTGATGTAAAGCCAAGCAACATTCTTCTTGATCATAAGATGACTGCTCATGTGAGTGACTTTGGGCTTGCCAGAGGTCCTGTAGAAACTTTAATCAGGTCTTCTTCGCATACTATCACAACATTTGGTTTGAGGGGAACTGTTGGCTATGTTGCTCCAGGTGAAATTTTCTAGCCAATATAATTTTCTTTTGTTCTGTTATTCACACTGAGCTTTTATTAAAGTGTTAAAAGAATCTTAGACGAGATGAAGACGACATTGGAGCTATCCTTGAAACCCTCAACCTCCTATCCTTGTTTACAAAGTCTGCATTTCTGCAATGCATAGAACAGAACTACGTAAGGACTTTATATGCAAATCTGCATGTAAGATAGAACCAGATTATTAAGTTTGACAATTCGCAACAGTAACTGTAAACCCACATGTATGCATGCATGCATGTACATGTGTATGTAGAATGTTTATGTATAGAAGAAATGAGAAAACATGTGACGTAGGAGAAAATTTTCCTTTCTATGCCACTGTAAAAGTGCATTATCCACATAAACTCCAATCTCCAGGAAGTTGTTCTTGACCGGTACAAACTTATTGTGTTCTCTGGCCTGTAAAACACGGAGATGAAAAATGATTTGGATGCATTTTACCCATGGATTTGATCCAATTTGTTCTATTATTTAAGACCTATGCACTTCGCAGATGCATGAGTGAAATGTGTTTAATCTTTATTATTTCCTTTTGGGAAAACTTCGACACCCCTGAGTTTGGGGAGTTTTCCACATAACCCCCTAAACTTTTTTTATTCCACTTAACCCTCGTGAATGTTTGAGTTTTCCCAACGCACCCCCAACGTCGTTACATATTAATGGTGAAATGACCAAAATGACGCTTTTCCCCCCCCCCCAACCAAAAAAAAGGAAAAGAGGATAAAGGGTTAATTTTTAATAAACTGATAAACTGAGGGATGTTTTCATCCTTTGCCATCACGTGCTTGGCACGCGACCTTGAAAGTTCACGGTGTTACTTTGGGGGTTAAGTGACACAAGTTCAAAGGGGGTTAAGTGGAATAAACAAAGTTAAGGAGGGTTATGTGCTCAAGTGAAATTTGACCTTCTCTTTTTTTCCCAGATACTCTAGGTGGTGCATATAATGCATTTGACATGCAGAGAGGTTTTAGCGCAGCATGAAGAATATATAATATCGATCGATGCATTGAGTGCTTAAATGAAGCTTCGTAAAATCAATTCAACCATTCATAATCACATGATCTTTTATATGTACATATTCTACGGGGGTGGGAACCATAATGAACACTGTGAATTGAGTAACAAAGGTGAGGAGTATAAAGTTTTAGAGGCTGGATGGGAGGAGATTCCCTTTTACGGTAAATGATGCTGGACCTCCTTAGAGGTACACAGATGCCCACAACGCAAACATATCTGCATGCACACATGCATGCACACACTACACACGGACACTAACACACATATACTGAAGTGAGCCTCAGTGACTCCTTGGTAACTAATTAGGGAGATGACCTGAAATCTCACCGTGGATCATTTTAATGAGTGGCTACAGTACTGTTCATCAGGTATTCACATCCTAAAGTATTTCCATAGAAAAATCATGTACATGTAACCTTTATTCTTTTTAATCATGCATCAAATGCGTACAAAACGAATGATTCAACATATGATCAATGGTGAAGTGGTGTTCAAATTGTATCTTTTCCATATAGAATCTTTTTGTGTATATCGTGATTAATATTTTAAATCATCCTCTGGTTGATCCACGAACAGTATGATTTTAGGTCAAGTCCTTAACTGGTTATTTGAGTCATTTTAGAAATGTTTCTTCCACATGTGTGCATGTATGCACACACATGCTCACAAAGAATGGACAATCACTGGCACACAGATATATGCAGATACACGAGCATTTAATCTTTGCAAAAGCCAAGGTCCTGTTTGTTTCCATGGAATTCTAAGAATTCCATGGAAAAAGTAGATCCCCACAATAATATCTTTTTCAAAACGAAACTCATTTGTCAAAACTTCATGCTTGCTTTTGAGGTCCCTGGATTTTGTTGCCACATTAAGAAAATCCTTTGTCAGAATTCCTCTCCTTTCACTACGATTTTAGGGAGTGTGGAAAAATGGACCACACATCTATTTTTCTATTCAAACAACTAAAAAACAAAAGAAAATTGTAAAGTTAGGGATTTTAAAGAAAGATGGTTTCGTCCGATATACAAACCCCTCGTGTCTTGGCAAAACAGCCCCTTATATAATAGTGAAAAATGGAGCCTCATGTTTATGCCTTATTTGAGATGAAGAAGGTAGGTAGCACGTTACTCTTACATTTACTGTCACTAAGTCGTATAAACTCCAGTCCAGAATTTTGATCTCACTCAAAGTACTTTAAAAAAATTACTAGAAAACCAATTTTTTTTTTTGTCAATTATCATATATTCTGCACTGTTAAAGTAACCCACTCACAACTTAGATTATTCATTTTATGTCTTTTATGTGCGGACAAAAGGTTTCAAAAGCCTTGATGTTGTTTATCTTTAGACACCTTAATCAATTGATGCAGACCAATTTGAATGCATAAAAGTTGTCAGATAGGAATTTGAATGGAAATGAATCGTTTCCATATCCTTTTGGAAGTGGACAAGAATTTCCATGATATTTAATCTTTCAAGTTATATATCACTGTACACAACCTAACTTGCATCTTTGCCTGTAAACGTACAGAATATGGGACGGCAAACAAGGTTACCATTAAAGGAGATGTCTACAGCTACGGGATACTTCTGCTAGAAATGTTCACCGGTAAGAGACCCATCGATGATACTTTCCAAAATGGCATGAACATCAGAAGATATGTTGAAATGGCAATACCTGAAAAAGTTCTCGACATCATGGATTCACGCATTGCGGATAAAAATAATGCAAGAGTTCTAGAATGGGTTGCCTTTATTCTTAAAATTGGCCTTTCATGTTCTAATGAGTTTCCATCTCGCCGTCCAGAAATGAATAACATTATCCACTCTTTGCACGTTATCAGAGATGCATTCCTAAAGCAGCCATAGAATCCAATTGAGGGTTAGGGGATCATCACAATTAATAGGTACTTGATATCAATAAAATGAAACAAAGCTATATTGGCTCTCAGCTCCTGCATTAAAGTGGCAACTTAATTTGAAGGTGAGACATCCAAAAACCGAAGAGACGACACATAAGGAAATGGTGATTAGCATTTCTTTACATGTTCACCATATTTTTATACAGTTAAATAAGAAGTTGAAGAAGGCTATTTAATGTACAAAAAAAAAATTATCTTGTAAATGAAGCTGCAGTAATATGGTCTGTAAGTGCTCCAGGTTGTCTATTTTGTTTCTGTGGTCAGACATATGCTCTATTTATTTGAGTAGATACAACTTGTTGCATGTTTTGTTGACAACTACTAAAGTACTGGTCTATCATGATTCAGTCCAAAATCAAAGCCGAATTGAAATCCATCTCATTAGGACCTTGGGATTTAATTGAATATGGATCTAATCGTAACACTCCACGTGCGAACAGATTGTTCTGAACCATAAAATAGCTAATTTAAATCTCCTCAGGATTAGTGAATTTTCTAACATGTAGGTGCATGAGGACGAAAAGAAAAGAGGCTGGATATTTCTTAGGTTCAAACTTGGGATTATGGTATTAATTTAAAAAGAAAAACTTTTTTAAAAGACTAAGGGTGAATTTCAGAAACCCCCTCACCCACTTAACTTTGAAAATTAGAAAAACTCCCCCAAAACTTTGGAAAGTTCCACCAAAACCTCTGTAAATCTTCAAAAGGTCGCCCACACTTAAATAATCTTTTTAAAACTTTCTTTTTATATACCCTCCTTCCCCAGTTTTTCCCAATTACCTCCTTCCTCTCTTCCCCGGCAAATCTTAGGATGAAATTTGCCATATAGTTTAATTGGAACTTTTCCGGATTCATGAGGGTATTCTGGAACTCTCCAAAAGTTTTGAGGGGTTTTCTTTAATTTTCCGAGTTGACTGGAGGAGGCGGTTTCTAAAGAGGGCAAGTGCGCCGACCTCTCAGCTGGCATGGGGCTGATCTTCAACTACACAAGGTATATTCGGTATACATGAAGAAATGTTGTTATTTGCGTTAGAGGTATTTTTGTGATCTGTTTAGTGAGGAACCAAAGCAAATTGACTAGATAAGTTTAAGGTGGAATTGTCCTTTTAATTCTTATTTAACAATTTTTTAATGAAAAGTTAAAATAAGACTAGGTTTACATCTAATATTAGATCACTAGTAGAAAATCACGTATTCTAGACGGAATATTCTAGACGGAATTTTTTCCGTCTAGAATGTATTAAACTAGACGGAAATATTCCGTCTAGAATATTCCGTCTAGAATAAAACATTCTAGACGGAAAATTCCGTCTAGAATACTATTCTAGACGGTTTTTTTATTTATTTTTTTTTTTTTAAATAACCATGTATTCTAGACGGAAATTTCCGTCTAGGATATTCATTCTAGACGAAAATTTCCGTCTAGAATAACTGACCAGTTTAAAAAAAAATTAACCCGTCAAAAAATTAACCGCGCTCCTTTCCCCCCCAAATGAAAAATTTTACCCCAAAATCAGCCTCATCCCCCCAAATCCTCATTCTCACACCCCAGCCCCTCCCTCTCCCTCCAAGGCCAGGTCGCCGACAATCTACCGCCACCGGAGGCGACCGCGACGCTCCTCCTCTCGACCTCGATCTCAAAGCTCCGCCTCTACGGCGCCGACCCCGCCATCCTCAAATCCCTCGCCGGCACCAACATCTTCGTCGTCATCGGCGCCGCCAACGGAGACATCCCCAACCGTCGGCAACGAGGTTTTAGAATCCAACGACCCCTCCCTCTCCTCCCAGCTCCTTCCCGCCATGCAAAATCTCCAAAATGCCCTCTCCGCCTCACTTCCGGTGAAAGTCTCCACCGTCAACACGATGGCGGTGCTCGCAAACTCGAATCCAGCTCCCTGTTTGATCTAATCAATGTTTTGGGTTTTTCTTTTGTTTTCTTCTTCTTGATTAGGACTCGAGAGGATATAAAATCAAGCGAAAATTTCTCGAAAAGGATTAATGGAGCAAGACCTTAGTAAGCTGGACGTGAACACGCTGACCCCGTTGTCGCCGGAGGTGATTTCTCGTCAGGCTACTATTAATATTGGTACGTTTTAGTCCTTTTTTTTTAATTCTTTCATGATTTTTATTTTCATATTTACTAATGAAAATACACAAAATTCCTACAATGCAGTAATTTGTAAAGAGGAATAAATGAAAATATATCTAAAGGAATTAAACTGCAATTGGAATTTGTGAAGAAATCAAACTTGTTAGGCCAGTGACGCAAATAGGGATAAATGATATTCATTCAGCGGACCTTAGACTTATGAATTAATAGGGCATGAGAATATTTGTCATGAGTTAAGATCAGAGGATTTCTCCAAGATGACAACTTAGATGGAGATAGAAGAATATAAGGGTTGCTTTGCAGATGCGGCATTTTAATCTATATGGTATGACTTTTATGACAGAAATCTATATGGTATGAATTAAAACAAAGAACTCCTTGACAGTGTGGATCAATGGTGCATTGAGTTATCTTCTTAGTGTGGCACGCAAAAAACTTTGCCATTTTAATAATGGCCTTGTTCATGTGGCTCGGGAACACTATTATTTCTTGTTTCATAGCTTCTACATTTGTTTCTTGTGTTCCCAGAATTTTGGTTAAACTTAAAAGGAATGTGTACCTCATCATATTAGAAGGTTTACATGGCACAAATGTCTCTGTTTTTTGGGGGTTTAAATATGCAGAAGTATGCAGAAAAGTGGCATGATGATTCTTGAAGTTTGATGGTTGATGTGTGTGCTAATGTGTCAGGTACTATTGTGTCAGTTATACCAAATTATCAGATTCATCAAATGGTCATTGTCAGACTAGAGATTAGCATTTTTAGTTTTAAAAATCAAATTGACAGTTATACGAACACATGCACGCATGTACGCACACGTATACGTGCACGCATGCACGCACACACGCGCGCACGCGCACACATATATCTTGCATTCTTCCCAATACTGATCTTTTACATAGTTACGAAGGGGCCTCTTTGCGATGGTTGTCTGTACAAGTTTGAAGTTTCATATGTTGAATGTTTTGCATTGAATATTTATGTTACGTTTTGGTAGCCAATAAGAGCCTTTTAGGCATTTTTTATTTTTAAATCTTTCGTTAATGCAAAGATTTATAAATGTGAACTTCATAGATGTCCTCGACCAATGTGTTACAAGTATGATATTGTTGATGGGACAAGTTCCGATTTTTGTCTGTATTTATCTTTCGCTGTTTGATGAGATTCACATGCATGCAGGGCTTATGGAAGAGGAAAAGAAGACGGTCCCTTGTGTGATGTGCCAGGATTTGAGAATGCTAGAATGAAGCTGTTGAGGCATGTTTCATTTGTGGATTGTCTGGTAAAATGACTGCTCGAACTATTAATGCCCAAGCCTATCTAGGCGATGCTCTTTCATACTTAACTACTTCTCCCTTGTTAGAGAAGCATTCAGTGCTGCATCAAAGAATGTAAGTTTAAAATGTTAGACAAGCTTCATTAATACTAATAATAATATAAATAGATAAAGGGGGTGGAAGTTATAGTTGTATCTATAAGTCCAATATTGAAAATGATTCTTGAGTAATATTAATTAATCACCAAGCATATGAAGAATATTTCTATACCACTTTTATATTATAGTTAATCTAGGAAGACACAAATATAAAAATCATATACACATTCATTGTGGATCAGGTTTTATATGTTACTTAATTTCAGAACATAATGCGCTTGATCAAGCATTATCCTTATTCTCGTTGAGTTTAATTAAGCTCATAAAATCAATAACCTTATGGGTACTTAATTTCAGAACATAATGAGCTTTGATCTCTAAAGCTTGTATGAATATATATTGCAACTTAATAAGGTGATTATTATATGTTGCAAATTGAAAGAACTGTATGCCTAAATAATTGAAAGTCATAAACTTTTCCTATGTGGGATGCATTTTGTAGGCAGAAACATAGCTACTTGTAGATTGCTAAAGTGAAAGTGAGAGAACTCTATGCCTAAGTAATTCAAATATCAATTTCTTCCTACATGGCGATGCATTTTATCAGCAGAAACTGAACTACTTGTAGATTGCCAAATCAATGATCAAGACTGGGAAAGTGCTATCTAGAAGCCCAGCAATCACAACGGATAAGGAGCCAAAGGAGGAAACCAGAATACTTAAGGTATTGGGTCTTTACTACTCAATTATAAATTATGATATCATATATGAAATGTGAGGCTTAGTAATTGATAAGCCTCTAAGTTCTTGGGAGCTCAGTCAAGGCATCCAAAGCATACGAGAAAGTTCATTACAGTATGCAAATGACAATGCCTTGCAGCTTGCCAAGGTGAGTAAAATTCTGAATCCTCTTCTCAAATATCTTTTGTATATATACATGAAGTGCATGCAAAAGAATGTTGTATATAAATAGCACCTGTTTTTTCAGGACATCAAGGTGCTGATATATCCATTGCTTAGACCTGTAAGCTTTTGGTTGGGTTGTGTATTTAACGTTATTGCTCACATTTCATACTAATTCTAAACGAGATGCTTCTATTGAGTACTTTTTTTTTGTTTTGCTGGCATGCATCTGTTTTATTAAAATGTCAGTTAATCATGATGATTCACATGTCCTACAATAATCGGATTGTTCATCTTCCTTTGACATGAGTGGCATCACAAATTTTAAGGCATGTGGTTCATGGCACCTAAAAGTTGCCGTTGTGAGAAGTCTTGGCAAAAATGCACAGATTTATTTATCTTTGATTTTGAATGATAATATATCTTTGTTTTTGAATGATAATATCGATGGTAAAGGCGTGCATGATGGTGGGGCTGAAGGGAATCGTTCCAAGAAGGTGAAAAGCGAAGATACATGCGATCATTCTGACAAAGGCGAGGAAGATGTTGAAGAGGAAGAGGCAAGGAAGAATAGGCTTGGGCTTAATAAGAAGAGTGGTGATGATGATGAGTTGATTGCGAAGGGAAAATCCTATGTGAATTCGTGTAAATAATTGATGTAAAAGTTTGTAAACAATTTTTTTTTCTAGTATTTTGGTGAATGTATTATTTGAATATAACGAGATTTGATATTGGAATATAATTATATTGTGTTGGATATGAATATAATTTCTTTTTGTTTAATATTATGTACATGCATCCCAAGTAGATTCTGCAAAAAAAAAAAAACTACTGTAGCAAAGTATCCTAGACGGAAATTCCGTCTAGGATACTAAAATTCCGTCTAGGATGCCTTTTTTAAAAAAAATTTTAAAAAATTAAAAAACATCAATTTCCGTCTAGGATGAGTATTCTAGACGAAAATTTCCGTCTAGAATACTCATTCTAGACGGAAATTTTTTCCGTCTAGGATACAGTATTCTAGACGGAAATTCCGTCTAGAATAATCCGTCTAGGATGTATTCTAGACGGTTTTTAATTCCGTCTAGAATATTCCGTCTAGGATGTATTCTAGACGGAATTTCCGTCTAGAATACTGTATCCTAGACGGAAACATACTAGACCCGTATTCTAGACGGAATTCCGTCTAGAATAAGCATTCTAGACGGAATTCTGGGTATCCTAGACGGAATTTTCCGTCTAGGATGCCTAATTTTTTAGCAGTGGATGTACAAGGACTAAGTTGAGAAAAAGAGAAAATGAGGGAGCAACTAGTGAATGAGACCATAGTACAAGGATAAAATTGATCTTTTAGCCTAAAATAAAAGAAGGTAACAGATTGGGCTTATTTGGAAAAAAAAACCTTCAAGCAGACAAATTTATGGTTTTCGTGGCTGAACCTTCTCCGCGTCAAAAAAGCGTGGAAATGGGACCAGGTATATTGTAGAGATTTGCTTGTTTGTGTAGCTCCAATTGTTTCTGTGTTTTAATATATTTATTTGGTGTCTATTTAGGGAAAATGTATCTTTCCATAAATAAAAAAAATTATGTGAAAAGCTCCTAGTTTCCTTTTGGTGCAGATCGGGCTTTGTTAATTAAATAAATAAGAGAGGGACTATTGGCAGTTGTCTTTCTAAAAAAAATTGTAGGTGCTTGAAACATGAAATGCCCCATCAGTTCACTGTTTAGTTGTTATGAAATGAGCCAGAAGTTTCATGAGTGAAAGTCTCTTCTATTATTATTCCCAATTAACATTATTTGAAGGACATGTAAACAAGAGCAATGAGAGTAGTACAATCTTGACTCAATTATTGCTGAGAGTTTTTACAGTCAAAAGTCTTCCAATGCAGTTGATAAAAGAACACTGCCTTTAATATCTGAAGGTTACTGTTTTATCCTCCTTTCTCCTGCCCAAAACTTCATCGGTTTCACTCCAATTCCGATGTTACAACTATTCTCATCCAACTGCATAGCTTACACAACTTTTCTTCTACTCTCATTACATCATGTCTGCTCTCTGATAAATTCTCCGACGCTCAACAATGCAACGGATATGCGAGCCCTTCTCTCCTTCAAATCCATGATATCCGTCAATCCAAGCTCGCAGTTGGCCTCGTGGAACTACTCCGTCCATTTCTGTCGGTGGCCGGGGGTCACTTGTGGGGGCCGCCGGCATCCGGAGAGGGTAGTCTCCTTAGAATTGAGCTCTCTAAACCTGGCAGGGTTCATCTCAGCATCCTTATCCAACCTGACATTTCTCAGGAAAATTGATCTTTCGGTGAATCAGATTCGGGGATCAATTCCACAGGATATCGGTCGACTGTATCGGTTGCAGCATCTCAATCTGAGCCTGAATTCTCTCGGAAAAGGTATCCCTACTTCACTTTCTCGGTGTTTAGACCTTCGGGTATTATCCCTGGCAAACAATTATCTTGAAGGTGAAATACCAGTTTTGTTAATGAACCTGTCGTCTCTTTATGTTCTATCTGTTGGAAGTAACCAACTTAGTGGACATATCCCACCTTCAATAGGTAAACTTTTCAAACTTACAGAGCTTGATTTGTCCAGCAATCGTCTTTCTGGAGATATCCCAGCTTCGCTGTGGAACCTTTCTTCTCTTTCTTATCTCAACATGGCAGATAATTCTCTGTCAGGTTATCTTCCATCTGATGCAGGTTCCGCTCTTCTGTTGCTTCGAAGAATTTTCTTGTATGATAATCAATTTTATGGATCCATTCCATTGTCATTGCCCAATGCATCTCATCTTGAGGTTGTAGACCTTTCGAGCAACAGGCTTAATGGTGGAATCCCTCCTAATTTGGGAGACTTACGAAATTTGCAATGGCTTAACTTATTTAATAATCAGTTGGAAGCTATGGAACCTGATGGATGGAGATTTATTACTGCTTTGAGCAATTGTACCGTCTTAGAGAAATTGCAACTAGATTCGAATTACCTTGGCGGCATTCTTCCTATTTCTATTGCCAACTTATCCACTAACCTTCAGATACTCAAGATTTCAAACAATAAAGTCTCTGGGAACATTCCTCCTGAGATTGGGAACCTTGTTAGCTTGACAGTGCTCGAGATGAGACATAACCTGCTGACAGGCTCTATCCCTGTATCTATTGGAATGCTTAGAGACATGCATATACTGGATTTAGGCAGCAATAAGCTATCTGGTAAGATTCCATCAACCCTCGGTAACCTTACTCGACTGAATATTCTTCATATGGGTTTTAATGAATTGAGTGGAACCATACCGCGAAATCTTGGAAATTGCCAAAATTTAATCTCACTAGACTTCTCAGTTAATAGACTAACTGGTCTCATCCCTATGGAAATTCTTACCATAGCAACATTGTCCATATATCTCAATCTGTCGTGGAATTCATTAACCGGGTCAGTACCATCAGAAGTAGGGATCTTGAAGAATTTGGGGGAGATCGATTTCAGTATGAACAAGTTGTCCGGGGAACTCCCTAGCAGTCTTGGTAAATGTCAGGAGCTAAAAAATCTCTTTATGGGAGGAAATTTCATCCATGGAAATATCTCTTCACCTTTGAGTACATTGAGAGGCTTGCAAGAGTTGGATCTTTCACAAAACAACCTCTCAGGGCAAATACCATACTTTTTACAGGACTTTCCGTTTCTATACTATGTTAACCTCTCTTTCAATAATTTCGAGGGCGAAGTTCCAAGGGATGGTGTCTTTGCAAATACAAGTGCAGTTTCGGTCCTGGGAAACGAGAAGCTGTGTGGAGGGAGCTCAACATTACACTTGCCACCTTGTACAATTCAATCAACTTGGAAGAAGTATAGATTTGCTACACTTGCAATAATCATCTCATTTGCCACTGTATGTCTAGTCTTGCTCCTACTTGCCTACCAGATACGAAAGCCAAAAGGGGAACCTATTAGAGAACCCGCATATGAACGTGGAAGAATATCTTATGCTCGACTTGTGAGAGCTACAAATGGATTCTCTGAAGAAAACTTAATTGGGGTGGGCAGTTTTGGTGCCGTGTATAAAGGATCATTAGGATATGATAGGCATAGCACCCTCAATGGGATTTATATTGCTGTAAAGGTAATTAACCTTCAACAGCGAGGAGCTTCCAAAAGTTTTGTGACGGAGTGTGATGTTTTGAGAAACATGAAACACAGAAACATCGTCAGAATCTTAACAACTTGTTCAGGTGTCGATTCCTATGGAAATGACTTCAAAGCATTGGTCTTTGAGTTCATGGTTAATGGCAGTTTAGAGAATTGGTTGCATCCGGAAGCTAATGAGGAAAGAATGGATGAGAGATTCAACCTTTTACAGAGGATTAACATAGCCACTGATGTGGCCTCTGCATTGTATCATCTCCACCACGGTGGTGAGAATCCCATTATTCATTGTGATTTAAAGCCAAGCAACATTCTTCTTGATCATAAGATGACTGCTCGTGTGAGTGACTTTGGGCTTGCCAGAGGTCCTTTAGAAACTCTAATCAGGTCTTCTTTGCACACTGTCACAACATTTGGTTTGAGGGGAACCGTTGGCTATGTTGCTCCAGGTGAAAATTTCTACCCAATTTAAATTTCATTTGTTATGTTTTTCTCATTGGCAATATTAAAGTGACAAAAGAATCTGAAAGTTAGATGAAGGACTATGTTGGAATTGTAATTGAAAAGCTCAACTTCTATCCTTGCTTACAAATTCTGCATTTCCGCGATGCATAGATGATAGAACGAAACCACATAATATTTGTTTACTTTATCATAATTATATTATATATCCAATAAGATTTCTTCTGAAGAGTTAAATATTTGTCCTATGTGTTGCTTACTCCTCAATTTGTCTTCTCTTTTTATAGAACCAAATTGTTAAGTTTTACAATTCACAACAGTAACTGCAAAGACGCATGTATCTACTTAAGCATGCGCAAGCGTGTATAGAATGTTTATGTGTAGAATAAAGGCAAAAACAGGTGGCATAATAGGAAACGTTAGTCCTAGAGCACCTGTAAAACTCCAATCTTCACAAAATCGGTTCTTGATCGGTTCAAATTTTTGTGATTCTGCCCTTGTACATGTGGAAATGAAAAGTCGTTTGATTTGAAATCATTTTGCCCGTAGATATAATTAATTCTATGGTCAAACACCTATGCACTGTGCATATTGATGAGCCAGAAGTGTTTAATCTTTATTTGTTTATTTTATTTATTGATTTGCATAGTTACTCTAAGCTGTGTATGCGCTGCATTTGAAGTTGGCAGATAGGTTCAGTTTCCTCTCATGGCCCTTCCTCCTTCAATCCCTCTTGCTAGATGCTCCTAAGAGAACCTCATGTCCTTAAGGCTAAAACCCAGATGAATGTAAAAATCATGGAGATTGGATATTTCAACCCATGCATTGAGTGGTTAAATGAGCATTATTAAAATAAATTCAACCATCCATTCAAATGACATGATTTTTTATGTGTATAAAGTTTGGTAGGGGGCGCTGGGGTGGGGTGAAAATCATGATAAACAATGCAAATGAAGTAAGAAAGGTGTCGATATTAGAGTTTTAGAGGCTTGATATCTCCTTCTGTGGTAAATGGTCCTGGATATTCTCAGGGAGACAAAGATGTATACACATAATCTGCCTGCACACACAATGCACATATACAAGTGCACACATAATGCTAGACCCCGACTTTAGTCCTACATCGGGAATTTACAGTGAAATTGTGTGCTTAAATAGGTAAGCCTAAGATTCAAGTGTAACATCGGCTAGTTGATTTTGGCAGTGGAGTGAGCCAAATAACACGTTACACTCGGTGGGTCACACGGCTTGCACGAGCCAACGGACCCGTAGGCCCGGGCATGACAAATGGTATCAGAGCAATTACCAGCCGGAAGTGCTAAGCTAAGTGCTATGGGGGGCTAAGTGCTACACTGCGTGAGCGCAGTGGGAGCCACCTATAGAGACCGTAGGAGTCATCTCTAGAGTCCACATCACATCGTCTGGCGATACTGGGATGTGCCTATTGTCATGCATGTCGTGGCAAGGACGTGCTTTTGTAAGGTGGGGGTAATTGTGAGACCCTAACTTTAGTCCCACATCGGGAATTTACGGTGAAATTGCGTAGCTTAAATAGGTAAAGCCCAAGACTCAAGTGCAACAGCGGCTAATCGATTTTTGGCAGTGGATTGAGCCAAATAACACGTTACACTTGGTAGGTCCACGGCTTGCACGCGCCAACGGGCTCACGGGTTCGGGGCATGACACATAAATGCGCAAATACATATGCACGGACGCACACATCATTGCCATGATAGTCAGCCTTTCAGGCTATAATTTACAGTAGATGTCCTAACTTGTATCTTTGCCTGTAAACGTATAGAATATGGGACGGCGAACAAAGCTACCATTAAAGGGGATGTCTACAGCTACGGTATACTTCTGCTAGAATTGTTTACTGGTAGGAGACCCATCAATGAAACTTTCGAAGATGGCATGAACCTCAGAAGATATGTTAAAATGGCTCTACCTGAAAAAGTTGTCGACATCATGGATTCACGCATTGCGGCTGATAATGACGCAAGAGTTCTGAAAAAGGTATCTTTTATTCTTAAAATTGGCCTTTTCTGTTCTAATGAGTTGCCATCTCATCGTCCAGAAATGAAAGATATTATCAAATCTTTGTATGTTATCAGAGATGGATTCCTACAGCAGCCACAGAATACAACTGAGGGGTAGAGGGTCATTTAAGAGTTCATAAATGACTGTTATTTCATGTGAAATAGGCTTGAAATAAAGCTAGGATGGCTCTCGTCTCCTGCACGGAAAGAGAAATACCTTTGACGATGAGAAATTCCAAACAGAAGTTCATATGTGGTTACCATTTCATTACATGTAAATGAGAAGTTCAAAAGTCCATTTCTTATAAAAATTAAAAAAAAAATTTAAAATTGTGTATCTTGTAAATGTAGCTAGCTGCAGTAACTGATCTGTAACTGGTCTTCCAGGTTTTTTTAATACAATATTGTGATTACAGATATACTCCACTATTTGGTCATACAAGTTGTATGTGTTTTTTTGACAATCGTAAATATCTTTTTCACTCACAACTTGTACAGCAACATATTGTTACACAATATTCTAAAGCCCCATTTTTTAGATTACAAGGACTAAAGTTTTGACGACCATGTCCCTTTG